AACCCCAGGCCTGCCGGAAAAGCCAGATCTTAAGTAGCTTACGGAAGACCAACAGGGTGGGAGCGGTCCTAATCTCCGGGGGGAGCTGATTCCAAAGCGTGGGTGCCATCACAGAGAAGGCCCTCCTCCGCAGCCCTGCCAAATGGCACTGCTTGGCCGACGGGGCCTGAAGGAGGCCCAGCCTGTGGGATCTAACCGGACGTAGGGAACTATGAGGTAGTAGGCGGTCTCGCAAATAGCCTAGCCCTGAGCCATATAGGACTTTAAAGGTAATGACCAACACCTTGAATTGGACCCGGAGACCAATAGGCAACCAGTGCAGCTCACGGAGGATAGGTTTAACGTGGGTGTATCGAGGAGCACCCACTATCACTCGCGCGGCTGCATTCTGGACCAACTGTAGTCTCCAAATACTTTTCAAGGGTAGCCCCATGTAGAGCGCGTTGCAGTAGTCCAAATGTGAGGTGACAAGGGTGTGAGTGACTGTAAGGAGAGCCTCCCGGTCCAGGTAGGGTAGCAACTGGTGCAACAGGCAAACTTGTGCAAAGGTCCTCCCAGCCACAGCCGTCAATTGATGTTCCAAATTCAGCTGTGGATCAAGGAGGACACCCAAGTTGCGAACCCGCTCCGAAGGGGGTATATTTTCCCCCGCAAGAGTCAATACTGGACAGTCGACATGATCCTTGGGAGGCAACATCCAAAGCCACTCGGTCTTGTCAGGATTGAGCCTGAGTCTGTTAACCCCCATCCAGACCCTCACGGCTTCGAGGCAACGGCCCATCACATCGGCCGCTTCACTGAGAGAGCTTGAGGAGGAGATATATAACTGGGTATCATCAGCATACTGATGAAACCTCACCCCGTGCTGTCTGATGATCTCACCCAACGGCTTCATATAAATGTTAAATAGGAGGGGAGAGAGGACCGACCCCTGTGGCACGCCGCATTCAAGGGGCCTCAGGGTTGACCTCTGCCCTCCCACCAATACCGATTGCGACCGGCCAGAGAGGTAGGAGGAGAACCACCGTAGAACGGTGCCTCCCACTCCCACCCCTTCGAGTCGTCGCAAAAGGATACCATGATCGATGGTATCGAAAGCCACTGAGAGGTCAAGTAGCACCAAGACAGAGGAATAACCTCTGTCTCGGGCCCGCCAGAGATCATCCATCAGCGCGACCAAAGCGGTTTCTGTGCTGAAGCCGGGCCTGAAGCCAGATTGAAAAGGGTCTAGATAATCCACTTCATCCAGAGACCGTCGGAGCTGGAGCGCCACCACTCTCTCTACAACCTTCCCCACAAAGGGGAGACTGGAGACTGGACAGAAGTTATTTAAATCAGCCGGGTCCAGGGTAGGCTTCTTGAGCAGGGGGCTCATAACTGCCTCCTTCAGGGATTGTGGAAAAGACCCCTCCCTCAACGAAGGGTTGATCAACATCTAAGGTGTCACCTCCTTGGCAGCCGAGACCAACCAGAAAGGACACGGGTCCAATAAACAAGTGGAGGCGCTCATTGCTCCCACCGCTCTGTCAACATCCTCAGCGGTCACAGACTCAAATTCATCCCATAAAACTGAGCTAAGACCTGCCCCAGTCATCTCAAAAGGCCCTGCCCAATCGGAGTCTAGGTCTGTCCGAATCCGAGCGATTTTGTCTGATAAGAATTGCACAAATTCCTCCACTCTACCCTGTAAGGGCTCCCCAACTTCCCGAACATTAAGTAGGGAACGGGTCACCCTAAACAGGGCGGCGGGGTGAGATTCTGCAGACGCAATAAGTGCGGAAAAATGCGAACATTTTGCCGCTCGTATCGCCACTAAATAAGTCCTAATATAGGCTCTTAGAAGTGTCCGGTCGGATTCAGAGTTACTAGCCCTCCAGCGTCGCTCTAGACGTCTCTTCTGACGCTTCATCTCCCGTAGCTCCTCGGTAAACTAAGGTGCCCTCTGGGATCCACAATCACGGAGAGGTCGCAAAGGCGCGATCCAGTCTAACGCCCCTGATGCCGCCTTATTCCAAGCAGCAACCAAGGACTCAGCTAGTTCGTGGAGGAGGGAATCAGGAAAACCCCCAAGCGCTATTTGGAACCCCTCCAGGTCCATTAAACGCCTGGGGCGGAACCACCTAATCGGTCCCGCCTCCCTGCGGTGGGGGAGTAGGACTGAGAAATCTAACCTCAACAGGAAGTGATCCGACCATGACAAGGGAGAAGTGACTATACCCCTTAAATCGAAATCATGTCTCCACTGTCCCGAGAGGAATACCAAATCAAGCGTGTGTCCTTCCCTATGGGTCGGACACTGAATTATCTGGGTCAGGTCCACGGTTGTCATGGAAGCCATGAACTCCTGAGCCACACCAGCGGATTCGCCGAGCGACGGCAAATTGAAATCCCCCAGCACCATAAGCCTGGGGAATTCCACCGCCAACCCGGCTACCCCCTCCAGCAGCTCAGGCAGGGCTGTTCTCACATAGCTGGGAGGCAGGTATGTCAACAACAAGCCCGACTGAACCCTTGAATCCAACCTCAAGAGAAGGGACTCACACCCAACAACCTCTGGGGCTGGGATCCTGTGAGGTCTCAGGGATTCTCGGACAAGAATCGCCACTCCCCCACCCCTTTCCTGGAGTCGCGGTTGGTGCATTATCTGAAACCCATCTGGGCACATCTCTGAGAGAGGAACACCTCCCTCCTGGCCCAGCCAGGTCTCAGTAATACATGCCAGGTCGGCCTCCTCATCCAGTATCAAATGCCGGATGAGGGGGGCTTTATTAATAACTGACCTGGCATTAAGAAGCAGCAATCTGAGGCCAGGGTCCTGAACATCCGCCTCTCCAGGTATTGGAGAAGAGTCCAAGGGGTCAGAACAGGTAATCGCTCTAATGCAGCGAGTCCTTGTTCCCCGAAGATGGCCCACCCCTTGGCTCCCGCCATATCTACCTCTCCCTATGATAACCGGGATGTTCCGGCCCACCTCCACCCCCGAAAACTCCCCACCCACCCCGCAGGTCTCCCTCCCATATGTTTTTATAGTTAAAAACATCCATTTCAATGGGGGGGGGAATTATGCATGTGGGTTTAACAAACACATAGAGAAAGAAATGGAAGGCATTTTCGTTACCAAATTTAAAACATTTTTACATTTGGTTTTGAAGTGAACTTTTCTCTCCAGACTCTAGGATTTACTTGCTCCCCTAAAATAAACCAACATAGCTAGGAAGCCTCTGAGAGTTGCAAAGAGGATTTTCTCAGTGACCACTCTCCTGTTTTCATGGGTCTTAGGATTCTTCATTAGAATAAATGCTGCAGGCAAACATAAATAAATAAAAAATGGCCTGCAGATATCTCAGCCCCACTGTTTTTTGGTGCTGCATATGAAAGAAAAGTCTGGGAATGGTGTTTGTGAGGCATTGCTTCTATGGATTGATGTTGATTTTAAATAGTTTAATGCTCTTAACGCTCCTTGTTCTATGAAAGATGAGTATGTTACAGAACTTAGTTCTAATTAGTCTTCAATATTTTGTAGCTGTGAGCAACAATACACATGAGAACACAGTGAATGTATGTTTGTTGCAGTTGGGCGACAAAATAGGCTAGCATTTTAACAATTCTTGCTCTCGTTCAAGTATTCCTTTTGTGGAACCCAGTTCTCACTATACTGTGCCTTTCCCTAAACTACATGTTTTTTAAAAGTTTTGAATAATTTGCTCTAAACAATATATTATTACAGTGGGATGGGGCAAGTGTCCTTAGGGTCCAGGCCTATATCATATCAAATTGTATATGAATTATAGCAACTCCATGTTATATGCAGGAAAAAAAATATGGAAAGAAGAAAGAAGAAAGCGGATTAGCCTCAATTGTTGGTCCAACTAAACTATAAAAATATAAACATTCCATTTTTACAATTTTAAATAAATTGTTAACCTATTCTTGTGTTTAACTATTCATTATCCTTTCCTCATCTGATAAAAAAATCTTGTTGGACCTTACTTGCTATAGTATTTGATGAAACCTAGCAATCACTGTCATTCACATTTGATAAAAGATAGCTTATACAAAATATATCCAGCCTTCCTATATATTTCATTAGGAAATCCAATAAATAGTGAGCATGGCTATCTTTATAGAAAGCACAGGGTAATTCACTAATTCCCTGGGTTGCATAGGGAGTAAGATTTATTATATGATATCTTTTAATTTTTTTCTTTAAAGATCACTATATACAATGCATCACATTCCTACAATATATTGATACTGTAATTGTTCCAAAGTATCTTGATGATTTAAAGATAAAGATGTGCTTTCCAAAGTAAAATTGGTCTTTCAAGTAATTTGATGTATTTGCTAGTCCATATCATGGACATTTTTTGTCATTGACCTGATTTTACCGATCATATTAAAACTAGGAAATCTCAGAAGAGCCAATAGCAATACAGTTGCCTCTCATTTCAAGTTGGATGGAAATGCATCTGATAGTACCAGGAGTGCTAAACCGGGAAGAAAATTTAGCATCACTTATCAGTGAAAAATACCCAGCGATTGTTCAATGTTTAACTGTCACTCAGCCATTTCATTAATCCATTTTGCCTCTGGAGTATTGGAGTATTGGAGCTTTGGAGTATTAAAAAAAAAAAGGAGTATGCCCCAGATTCAGCCAAACTCCATTCATTCTGTCCTGACTATCCTCTTTCCCTCCCAAGTCCATCCTTGTTTTGGAAAGTAGGCTTACATGGCCAGGTTGTGTGACACAAGTTGACTTAAGAGACATTGTATTTTAAATCAAATTTAGCAACTCTACTTACCAACCAGTTCAACAGGTCACTACTCTAAAATCAGGTAGAGAAGCTCATTTTTATTTTACCATTCAAAGTATAATCAGTACCAAATATTTAGTTTAAATTCAGTGCTGGGCTTGCTGATCTATGATGTGTTAATACTCAAATAGTATTTTTATATTAAAAAGGTCATTACTTTCTCTCTTTTTCTCATGCGAAAGCAAGAATACATTCCGGGAAGATTTGGCCAGGAGGAAACCACTGGGTATGCTGCTTTTTCCATAGAAGAAAGTCATGAAAATGCCACAATATCAATGTTTGTGCGAACACGCAAGCCTTTTGGCTTCTTATTTGGTCTAGAAAGAAACACGTCCCTATTTCTCAAGGTCTGGCTAGAAGATGGGAAACTTGCAATGTCAGGTCCACAATCCAACAAATTTTTAAGTCTGCCGATTATGAATGATGGAAATTTCTATTTCATTTCTTTAAAAATGGGGCCAGATACGATGGACTTGTTTCAATCATCAAACAACTTGGGCTCCATTTCTACACCCTTTGTAAAAATACAGAAAAGGGATATTCTCTACACCGGTGGCTTACCAAACATGCAAGAAACCATTCTAAATGGAGGGTATTTCAAAGGTTGTATTCAAGATTTAAGACTGAGCAACCACCCACTTGAATTTTACCCTGTCACTACTTCGCTGAATGCCGTCAGAAGCAAGAGCACGCTGATCAATGTAGTTGCAGGATGCATTGGAGATGACCTCTGCAAGGTAAGAATCCGTGTTCTTCCCATGATTAAAAAGAGTTTCCCTTGAGCTGGTAGGATTCCTTAGCAACATGCAACAGTAAGAATATTTCAAGACTGTCTGTGAAAGAGGTGGGTAAGATCAGATGTTGCCAAATTGCTTTGCGGTTTGTGGGCAATGATACCACAAAATGACTGTTAGACTGGAAGGACAGCTCTGAAATCTCTCAGTACTGTAATGATAACCAGTAAGCAAAGCTGCTATTCATTAAGAGCAACTTGAACTCACTGTAGATCCCAAACCAAAATATTTTCATAATTACTTTAAAACCACATTTTACAGAACAAGCTAATCACGGGGCATGTTACAGGCATTTAAACCTGGCATCAAGGTTTATAAAACGTTAAACAATAAGAGAATGTTGTATTGCTGAAGAAATATAAAAGTAGCCAAAAATGGATTAGATGTACCAAAAAACTCACAACTTTTAACACTTTATAAAAAATGGCATCCTAAAAAAAACAAACTATTATCTATGAATTATATGCAAGGGAATATGCAGACTTATGGAATATATTATGTTGCGGATTCTGTGTTTATACAATGTATGTTTCACATTAAGCAGCTATTCATTTAAATCTCAAACATTTCGGAACATTTTAATGATTTCCTTATAAGCTTGCCTGATTTTTCTCTTCAAGAGTTTGCCCTTTTTTCCACTTTTAAATTATACCACTAAAGTTTTTTTTTTTTTTTAGGAAAAGATATTTCTTATTCATTTTCACTTCTCCTTACCATATGGAGCCTAGAGCAGACATGTCAAAGTCGCGACATCACATGATGTCGCGCAACATATCGGAGCTTTTTCACCATTGCTGGCAAAGGTGAAACCATTGCATGGCTCCGGTATGATGAAACCAGCCCACGGGCCTGCAGTTTGACACCCCTGGCCTAGAGGAATGACAACTGAACTTACAGCATGCCTAACTCTTATCTAAGCCAATCTCTTTCTGTTCCTCTCTGCTTTCTGCTGCTTTCAAATGCTAGGGCTAGTTCTCAGTGGTATGTTGTGCTTTCTCATTATTTGTTTTTTTTTTCTTCCCCTCACAAGTGCCAGCTGAAGAGACTCCAACCTAAGGAATTTGCAGTAATGCAGAAGGAGATCTGGTCCCTTCTTATAGACATTTTTGCTTCTCCCCCCTTTCCAGCCTCAAGAACAAGATGCAACCATAGTTAATACTACAGGGAAAAGCATGTGGTTGCAAAAAAAATGCTGACAGGCTATTATTTGTCTTCACAACTTGAAAGAAGGATTTTAATGCAATAGGAATGTCATCCAGGTCCCTTTACAGCAGTGGTTCTCAACCTGTGGGTTGGGACCCCATTTGGGGTCGAAGGACCATTTCACGGGGGTCGCCAAACAATGCAGTCCGCCATTTTTTTTCCCTTTTCCTTAGCTGTGCTACTCCCTTTTATTCTATTGGCTTTTGAAAGCCAATAGAATAGACTCTCTTGAATAGAGTCTAATTCTATTGGCTTTCAAAAACCAATAGGAATTGTCCAGGCTGTCTCTACCCTGCTGAGCCCGCCAAAAGCCCCATTCTGCAAACGGTGCTGCACCAGTTGAGTAGTCCTCAACTTACAACCGGTTGAGTAGTCCTTGACTTATGACCAGTTGGGGGTCGCGGCATTAAAAAGGTTGAGAACCACTGCTTTACAGTAACTATTAAGATTTTCTTTCTTTTTTTCTTTTTCTTTTTTTTTATGGAAATCAGACATATGGAGCCTGAATACATGGATTAAAAAAAAAAAAGCTGGCAATTTGTTTTATTTTTATATGCAATGGTGGAAAGGATTTTTGTTGTTCCAGGAGCTGCAAGAGTTCAGAGAATTGGGAAACTGATTAAATGTTGCTTTTCCAGTATTCGGCTGGAGGATGAGCCCAGATTGCTTCCTAGTGTTCCTAGAAGGGTCTTAGTATTTCTAGGCCTTCAGAAGTAGCTACAGTTCTCGGTTGTTTCAAATTACGAGAGAAACTGTAGGCTCGGGAATGTCCTGAATGCATTAATGGAGTCCTTTGACAAGCATGCTATTTGTAATTTTGGCTCTGTGAGGGCTTACATACAGGTGCTACTTGATGTCAGAGTCATTAAGCGGTGAACAGAAACCAGTCCTAGGCAGCAGTAATAAAAATATATATATATTAAAAAGTAGACAGGATCTACTTTTCATTCATTCTTCACGACTTTATAGCCTGACAGTGCCTCTGACTTGAGAATCCCAAAGTTATCTCTCCTTCGCTTAGACTCCTTACTTTTCTTCAGCCTTTACATCCATTTAACTATGCATCCATGCAGGCAGGCATTCAGCTGAAACTTGTTTTTCCTGTACAGCTGAATGCACAAGAAAGTTAACAAAACTGTATAAAAATACAAATGAATAAATAAAAGCAAGACTTTAAAATTACAAGTATTCAAACATCTTGCTCTTGTTTTTAAGGTGACCAACTTTTTTACAATGAAAAGGAGGACACAAATAAATTGAAGAAAAAAATATCGTAAATAAAAGAAACATTGTATTTATTGCAACAATAATACAGAATATGCTATAATATGATAAATGCATAAAAAAACATTTGTAACAATAAAATTTTATATTGTAATTATGCTTACATGCCTATTAATTATTATTTAAATGAGTACTGCACGGGGTGGGTGGCAGAGGCAGGTGTTGTGGGCCAGGTGCTCCAGGACGGCCACGTAGGCACGCAGGGTGAGGTGGTGTCAGTGCAGGTCAGCACTGCGTAGACCACCAGCTGGTGTGGCCCATGGAAGGTCAACTGCCCACCGCGCCCCCGCCACAGCTGCCCCACCAGCACTACTGCCCTGCCGTGGAGAGCCGGCCCCGCGGCTCGCAAAGCACCAGCCACGCTGGCTCCGGCCCTGCAGCCACCCCCCCACCCGGCCCCAGCACCACCGCCCCCACCCTCCGAATCCCCATAGAGCCAGCCCCGCGGCTCGCAAAGCACCAGCCGCACCAGCTCCAGCCCTGCAGCCACCCCCCCAGCCGCCACCCCCCCAGCACCACCACCTACCCTGTGCATCCCTGTGTAGAACCGAACAGGGAAGATCAAGAGAAACTTACTACTCCAGTCTCCTCCAGCTATCTTCAGAACTAAGTAGGAGATGGTGTAGTTGGGTAGCAGTGAGGGGTGCAAAGTTCCTGGAAAGTTTGCTGCCCGGATGTTTTGGCGCGCTCAGCAGCAATTCCTATTGGCTTTCGAAAAAGTTGAAAAGTTGAAAAAAACCATCAAAAAAAGGTCCCGAAACGCCTTCTGAGCGTTCTATGAGTAAAAAAAAGCCCTACAGATTAGTCTTCAAATATGAAAAAGGGGGACATCTAGTCTTCAAATATGGAAAAGGAGGACATCTAGGAGGACACTTTTTGAGGGAGGACAAAACTTAAAAAAGGAGGACTGTCCTCCCAAAAGGAGGACGGTTGGTCACCTTATTGTTTTACTAGTTTTCTGTTTGCCTTCTCTTCAATTTGTCGGCACAATTCAAAGACAAAAATCCCCAAATTTCTACAATTACAATGAAAAAAACAAACAAACAATTGGCTGGTTACAGCTGTTCTCTATACAATAAAACTGTTATTATGCCTACCAGTATTGTCTGTATTGACATGGGATTCTAATTTTTTTTCATTTGAAAATGATAATAATAATAAAGTCATTCCTGGGGGTGGAGAACTTTGCGTTGTGGGAAGCAGTAAGAGAAAGGCTAATATTTCTTCTCCTACCTCCACTCTCCTTGCTTTTTTGGTCCAATCAATTTTCCCTCTCCCAAAATTATTAGCCCAGAGCAGGAAAAGAAATTCAGGCCCAAAAATGTTACCTATGTTCCCCACAGCAATTTCCAAGTGGGTATCCTAACAGCTTTAGGATCTAATTTTGATCTAGAGAAAGTGGCACAGAGATTGAACTTCCTTTGTCACAGTACCGCTACTGTCATAAAAACTGGAGCCCTCCCCCCCCCGCTGTTCGAAAAGGCAGAGAAGTTGAAAGTTTCTTGCTTGCTGTCTATTTCCCAGCTGAGGGTGAGATCAGAAGTCTTCACTAACTCTGCTACCTAAGATACTTCAGCTGGTCAGGTCAGGAAATTAACTGAGAATTTTTTGATATTCGAAGCAAGTTTTTTACCAATGGATTAAAGCCACCAAACCCTTTTATTGCGTTTGCCTCCTGCTCCACTGTAAGCTTTGTGTAAAAGAAATGGATAACGTATGGCTTGCAAAATGTTGGATGGAAAATTTCTTTTAGTCCGTTGGCCATCCTGATGATAAAGTTACTCAACATCTAGAAGACCATATTTGACCTCTCCCTGATTAAAATCTATGAAAAATAATTTTACAAGACTAACTGCCACTAGTGGCTTGAGAGGAAGCCAGGAGAAAGACAGATTCTTTCTTCTCCTGTGCTCTTTTCAACTAATTGGAAAAACAGAACACTTTGCTCACCTTTCATTTCCATTTTTTTTTTTCCTTTTTTAGTCCGCTCCATGCCAGAACGGTGGTGTTTGCTATTCAATCTGGGATGACTTCACTTGTACTTGTCCACCAAATATGGCTGGGAAAGCTTGTGAAGAAGTAAAATGGTGTGACTTCAGTCCTTGCCCTCCTGAAGCCCAATGCCTGCTGGTGTATCAAGGATTTGAATGCAAGTATTTCCGCTTAGCCCATTATTTGTATTCCCTTTTGCACGATCCACTTCTTTTGCTACCTGTTTCTTATTATTGGCATCACTAGCCAATAATAAGAACCAAGGTGAGCATGACCAGTAATTTAAAAAAACAGAAGACTACAAATAGGCAACTTAAATCAGCTGATGGACTGCACAAGGCTTTGTATGGGATGCTAAGCATCATATACTCCAAAAGAAAGCACAGTTCAGTCCAGTTTGGGAGGCAGGTACCTTAAAACTATACATTTTGCCCCAAAATCCAAAAATGCAAAAGGGCCTGGAATAGAGAGGTTTAATAGGAGTGCCTACCTATGGCCCTGTGTTAGGCATCATGGTTCCAGAGATAATGTGGGTTAGGTATCATGGTTCCAGAGGTAATGTGCAATTCATCAGAAGAAATGGGGATGATCAGCAAGGCTCCCTCATCTGATGGTTTTGCTTTGTTTTTGACACACAGAGGAACTTATGTGAATGCTTCTGATGGAAATTTCGGTGTCAAATTTCGCCAACTTGCTGTTTCATGAAACACTCTTAATTATGTATAGTTCCATTATTTTCTAAGTAATAGTAAATCCTTAAAAACAATAGGAGCTCCAGTATGCATTTAGGATGATGGTGGATTGCATTCTGTAGAGACACATTAAGAAGAAAATTGCAGGGAGTCAATAGGTTTGTGTAGTGTATAGAAATGCACATTTGCACGGTAAGATAGGGGACAGGAGAAAGTGGCATGAATAGACATTACATTCTGATCCTCCTCTCCAAGGCAAGATTGTGGTTTCAGAGATCTGCTATTTTTTTATACCCTCAGATTCATCAAAATAGGTGAAAAATACACAAATGTAACAATAGAGAATTTGTAATTGCCCAATTTTTCCTTATTTTAGCAATATAATTTAGGACATTACTGTTACTGTGTTAAATGATCAGGACTCAGACATTCCTGCTGCCACAAATCTGAAATGATCTGCTAGTAGAGCCATGTCTACCTACTTTATGTGTATTCTATATTTTGAAGAAGGAGTAAAGATGGAGAAAGAAGGGAATGATTCATTTTATAGAGATCCTTTTTTCTCATCAATTGCCAAGTATCCTTAGCACCACTATGTCTGAAGGCCATAAAATCATGCAGAGTAGGGCCATCAGGACACAATAGGAATCCATGACCCTGCTAAGCAGAATGACCAAGGCCAACTGTCTTTCTCAGAAAGCCCTAAATTTTCAACTATCTGATTGCATCACTCTACTTGCATCATTAAGAGGGAGAAAGGGGAAGAGGAATGCTTAGTTATCAGAACATTTCCCTTTGACTTTTCAGACATTTATTCAAGGTAGTACTATTATATGTGGACTGATAAAAGTGGGTCAACAGTTATGTGGTAGCACAGCAATCCAGAAAAATCCAATTATCTATAATTTCATAACCCAGCTCTTTTAGCTAGAGCTAAGATAGTTCTAAAAACAGCACAGAGCTAATTCAGTATCATTGTCCTTCTATTTGAGGATACAGTGAGATAAGGTTAAACCTTTATACTGACCTCAAATGTCCTCCCCTTCTTCTCTTTTGGCAAATTATTTCAGATGTATATTTTCATGCTAATTAATTGCAGATTTCTTAAAGTTTCAATACATTTTTCAGCTTTATAATCACACTAATCGTTACAAAATCAGGACAATTACAGGAATAATAAGTATGGACTATCAATATTTTAGATAATAGGGAGCACATAACCCATTCTTTAACTCTTAAGATTCATATCACCAGTGTACTTTTTTATTGCCAAGTACTTTCAGTTTTATACCACGTGGAAACCAAAGTGGATTCTCTCATGAATATACAGAGAAGATGATAACACTAGTCTTATGCAGTAAATTGATTTTTTCCATCTTTGCTCAGGTATCTCCAATGCCATTTTTAATGGCAGAAGCAGTGCCATCTTTTATAGAAGTAATGGGAAGATCAGGAGAGACCTCACTAATATAACCTTTGGTTTTCGGACTCGAAACTCAGATGTGATACTACTTTATGCTGAGAAGGAACCAGAGTTCTTCTCTATCAGTATTCAGAATAGCAAATTGTTGTTCCAGCTGCAAAGTGGTAATAATTTTTTTACATTGAGCCTGGCTAGTTCCCTATCAGTGAATGATGGGAAGTGGCACAAGGTCACCTACTCTATGGCAGAGCCACTGTCTCAGTCATCAAGATGGCGTATTGATATAAATGATGAGAGAGAACATGCAACAAGTACTGTTGCCACTGGAAACCTTAACTTCCTGAGAGAAGACACAGATGTCTATCTGGCTGACAAAGCTTTTGATAATAAAAATGGACTGAGAGGGTGCATGAGCACTGTGGAGATTGGTGGAATTCATCTCTCTTACTTCGACAATACTAAAAAACCTCAAGAAGAACAGTTTCTCAAGATCTCTGCCAATTCTGTTGTCACCGGTTGCCTTAAGTTGGATGCCTGCAGCTTAAATCCTTGCTTGAATGGCGGGATGTGTGAAGATTTTTACAGCTATTTTCGCTGCTCATGTGCCAAGGGATGGACTGGCTCTCAGTGTGAACTCAGTGTTGATGAATGCTCCTCAAACCCTTGTCTCCATGGAAATTGCAGTGATGGAATATCAGCTTATAAGTGTGTATGCAATCCTGGATACAGAGGAACAAGGTGTGAAGAAGACATAGATGACTGTTTTGGACACCTCTGTGGAAATGGTGCCACTTTTGTAGATGGAATTAATGATTATTCATGCCTATGCACTGGGAATTTCACTGGAAGATTTTGCAGGTATGGTAACAAAGTTTTGATTAAAATATTGATCCACTATGAGATCCAGTTTGATCTAGTGGTTAAGGCATGAGATCAGGAACTGGGAAATTGTCCTAGTCTTATCTTGAGACACAAAGCCTGCTTGGTAATTTTGGGTTAGACATTCTCAGCTCTAGGAAGGAGGCAATGGCCAACCACTTCTGAAAGTGCAGGGACCTGTCCAGGCAGTCGCCAAGAGTCAGCACTTGCTCAAAGAAAAGAAGATGTAGTAAAGGCTTTTAATGTTAGAAGCAGGAATCACTCCTAACCTTTTCCCCCTTTGTACCTTTCACATACCCATAATAACTACTGTTCCTATGGGCCATTTGGCATGGGGAAATAGACAAAAATGGGGAGAAGAGGAAAGAAATAAGTATCCACCTTGAGACTCCAGAACTCAAAATAGTCCCCACCATCAAAAGGTTCTTCACTGACAAACAGCCATTGAGACTTAATATTACATTTAATGCATTATCTAAAATGCAAACAGCTATTTAAAACTTTTCCAGAAATATAATTCTGATCATTTTCTTTGTTTGGGGACTTGGGTTTGTTTATGCTATTGGGGTTTTGTGTAATTTATACAAATTATTTTGTGCCTCCAAATTTTTTACCGATATCCTCATTTTTGGGGATATCCTTGTCTTTGAGAGTGAGCTGAGTGGCCATATAAATTTTCTTTAAAAAAATAAATGAATCTGTCTTGGTAGGTAACTTCTAGGTACGTCCAACAATTAGATATGCTATCTAAAGAATAATCTTAAACCAATATATCAGAAAAAAATGGGTGATGGGGGTTGGAATTATTCCACGCAGTATTTTTCCTCCTATTGTGAGAATACATATGCAAGGAGCTCATAAATGTGACACACACACACACACACACAACATTTGGGAAATGTGAGAAGACAGATTTATTTATTTATTTGGATGTACAGTCTTTGGAATATACAGTAGAAAGAATAGGGAAAATGAGTATTTTGGAATTCAGGGAAGGTTGAAAGAGATTTTAAAACACATTAGATAAGAGACCATTAAAAAATTCCAGAGCTGAAGATTAGGTTGGGGAAATTGGACTAGCTTTTTGGAAGAATGTAGTGTTACAAAAAACAACAAAAACCAGCATTGTAATTTTGTCAAGGTAGCCATCAATGGCATCTTTCTTAACTATAGAAATACCAGGAATGGTCATGCTTAGCACTGATTCAGAAGAAATGCATCAGATCCACACCTCTCTGCTCTTCATTTTAAGCGACCCAATTTTTTTTCCAGTCTTCCATGAAAGTCTAAAAAGAAGATGCATTAATTTACTTCCTAAAAATAGCCACTCCCTTTATTTGGGTTAGTCCTTCTTCCAGCTGACCTCTCCCACCCTAGGAAAAGAGGTGCCCAAGATCCCAAGAGTTTTCCTATTTATATATTTGGTATCTGATTACTTTGAAATAATCCCTCTATTTAGTCTTATATGAATCCAAGAGAAAACTCAGTAGATTTCATATCAGGTTTTAATATATTAAAAATAGATAAGCCTTGAAATAATATCGGGACATTATTACAGACTTTTTTTCCCCCATTATAGGCACATACGAATGCCTTCAACACTGTGTGGGAATGAGAACAGAAATATCACCTGTTACAATTATGGCAACTGTACTGAGTTTGAAGGACGCTTAGAGTGCGTGTGCCTCACAGGCTTTGCAGGGCTACAGTAAGATCTTTCGATGTATTATGTTTGATTTGAGAATGGATGTATAATTTTTTTCATCCAACTGCACAATGCTATATGTTAGTTGTTATTATTACAATATAATGCAACAAACACTGGGCTTAGCAGAAATATTAGGTTTTGTCTACTGCAGTAGCGTATCATCTTGCTATTAATTCAATTGCAGAAGCAGTGACAAAAACAGCACAGAACCCACGTGAATGTGTTTTGAAGGACTTATTCCAACAGGTTTCGCATTAAAAACTGGTTTATATAAGGTGGGGTCATTTTTTAAAAAATAAAATTATTGGCAAGAAGAAACTCAGTTCATGAATGAGATTACATCAGTTACAAAATGCTGTAACTTCACAAAGGTTGGCACATTTTGTGATCAAGCCCATCTCAGGGAGTCTATACCACATAGTTTCTCTGCATGTGTAGATAAACCCTACATGTAGCACAAATCATGATCTCCTTCATCTAATTGCTTCCTATTCACTTTAGTTCCATACACACTGCATTTACACAGTGAACAAGATTCCCCACATCTTACATTGTTAGTTTCAAAATGATCTGTAATTTATGAAATTCATCCTGTAAATATTTGCTTGCAACCCATCTTCATTCTCTCCAGTTATAAGGACTCAACTCAAAATTTCAATATAACTAAGAATTCTAGTCGTTGGAGTCCACAAATATAAAGAGAACCTAGATTGGGGAAGGCTGGTGTAACCAATGTCCACCTGAAAAAAAACTTTATAGTAGAATAAAAAACCTATGTTCACAGCCTCATCCCCTGTTCGTATCTGAATCACTTCTTTGTTAAAAAAAAGAAAGTGAACTGCACACATCGGCATGTAATGTTTAATGTGACATATGAATGATGAATGACATGAAATATTTCCGGCTATCAATGGAGACAGAATTTGGCATGATGCACTATATAACCCAAATATCCAAAGAAAACATTAAATACCAGCCATTGTAGATTTAAGATGAATTAAGAATGTTCAAAAAAACAAAGTCTTTATATTTTCAACCATACTAGTAGGGCAAGAAGTTTTAGTTTTTTAGTAACTAATACATAGCACTGTATATCACTTATTACCCTTGAATGTAATAAGGGTACCTGTATATTTTGGGATTATTCTAACTGAACACATATTCCAAACCAATTCTGAAATGTTTATTTTAAATATTGCAAACTGCCCAGAATCTTTTTTAGGTTGTGTGGCCTGAAAAAAATATAATATATTTAAGTCAGATTACATTTTAATTTTTTTCTCTAGTTTGCTATACAGTAGATACAGTATGTGAATTAAACCTTGATTTGTATTTTAATATTGTCACAGTTATGTTTAAGATCTCAAAGTGTTTGCTATCTTGAAACTCTTGTTGCAACACTTCACACCAAAGAACTCCTGTATATCTGAAATTATAAAATTTTCCACAGCATTATCAATACTTACTAGATCTCATATGTGTAACCAGAGAGCATAAACTAACAGACACTCCAATTTTCTTTTTATAGTTGCTATTATTTTTACAAAAAGCAGAGCAATAATGTCATATAAATGCTTTTATTTGAATTTACATTGTAATCATGTACAGTATATCTAATTCATGTTAAATATTCCTTCATATCACTATCATCTTCAACATTCTCAAATATGCAATCCCCATAATTCCAACAAGCAATGTAGGAAGGACAATCCATTAGCTTTTATTATTAATGTCTGTTTCTCTTTTCTGAATTTTTTCCTATTTCTTTTGTCTTTCTCTCCTCCCACTTCAGTTTTCTTTCACTAAAATGCAACTTTTAAAAAGGAGAGCATGAGTCTCATTTATGGAAACCATTAATCTTGACCTCCAAAGAAGATCAACATTGTTTAACTCACATTCTGCAGTGAGATGTTTTATACTTCAGATATCCATAATACCCAGCCATGGACCTTGATGACTGGAGATAATAGAAAGTGACGTCCAGTAAATCTGTAAGAAATCAGGTTGAGGAAAGGTGGCTTAAACCATTTCAGAGCCCCTGAAAACAGAAAGACAAATTTCTTCCCCTTCACTTTCTCTTAGAACAGCTGGTCTAAATACTAATCTAATGTTTGCTTTGCAGATGTGAAGTGGATATCAATGAATGCAACTCTAATCCATGCCTCAATGGGGGCCTCTGCCAGAACCAGAACAACAAATTTTACTGTATTTGTGATGTGAATTATGCTGGTGATCGCTGTGAGATAGATGTAAGCGACATCTCCTTTTATATCACTCTCTTGTTGTGGCAGAATCTTTTTCAGCTACTTTCTTACCTCATTCTGCGTATGGATGATGACCCAGCTGTGGAATGGGGCGATCCAGATGATTAGCAGCAAAACCCATCCAGTGTTACTTTAAAAGTCATCAAAACATAGCTGGAGAGTATCTTGGCCAAAGTGAAAGTAAAAATAACAAATTCAACACTCTTAACCATGTTTTGCAATATTTCAGATTGATGTACAGTTGTCCTTGCAATGATTTGGAGTTGTTATTGCAATGGTAAACCCAGAGGCTGTGATACAGATTTGTGATACTCGATACTTCTAAGTGATAGAGAAGGCAGGAAAGGGTTGCAAAAACAGATTTATTTCCATTTTCACTTGGTGATAATGTCTTCTAGTTTGGATTTGTTCAGTAGTCTGGTTTTTATCCCGTCTCCTCCCTTAACATTGTAAGATGCGAAAACAAACCTTTTTTGACTTTAAAACAGGGGATGCAGCCTACAGCCTCAGAGTTATGTAGAGAACCCGCAATGCATTGAAAATTGTATCTGGAGCCCTTCCAAATGTTGCTGCCAAACTGAGATTTTAATATGACAGAAAGGGAAAATTGTGTCAGGAATAGGGATTAACCATATTATCAGTTCGAATTTAATTTTGATTTCAGTTTACTTACATTAAATCCCATTTAGATTTGCTTTGGTTTCCTTTACATTTTGCAGTTTGAGCATCAAGATGCTATTCCCTTTCATTTTTTTAATGTGATCACTTTCTTCCAATATTTTGAAATCACCAACTTGTATTTCTGACTTTCAAAATGTTATCACTGATCTTAAGTGTCTTAATTTGTGCACATGTGTGTGCATGCATGTAATGTCTGGTTGGATGGAAGTCATGTGTGTTTCAGTACTTTTAAAACTACTCTATCTTCCTGCAGTCCAGACATTTGTTAGAGTGATGTCATTGAGAGCAGTTAGCTTAGTTTAGTTGCAGCTAAAACCATAATTATTTTTGCAGATTGATTCAAATATAATGATCAAGTTAATATGCTCCCCAATTACATTTTAAATTACATACAGAGCTCAGATCATAGTGAAATCATTGATATACTTGGATGTTCCTATGAACTTAAAGCACTCACTTCAAAAAAGTGCTTCTTCCAGATTGTCCTAGTAATGGAGTCACTCTAGGTTCAGATGATTTATGAATAAACAGTTGCTTTGCCTCACTAAGATTTAATACAAACCTGTCCCACCCAGTTCCTGTATTGCTGCTTCACCATCTTTAGCACCCCAATGTAGACCCAAATTTGGGCCTATATTGAGGTTCAGCCCTTATTCACTCACTGGTTTTGTCATCAAAACTCTAGGTGTCCTTTCATCTCCATGGATGGATGGATGGATGGATGGATGGATGGATGGATGGATGGATGGACGGACAGAGGGATGGTATCTGGCATTATCATCTTAATTGAAAAGTGAATTGACAATGACATAGAATGAATGCAGAAAGAATGAACTTAATGTTCAGTTCATTAACCATGTGCTCCAAAGCAAAAATTAATGTATGGCTACCTATACTTTCAAAAGGGTTTTTATTCTGATATGGAATAGTCTGAATAAACACTTTTTCTTTGTTTCATACTGAAAATCGCTGTAGTACTGAGTTGAGTGACATAGAAGAAAAATGCTTTACTAATATTATATTATAATGGACAGTTCTGATTGCTGTACATAAAACTTTTGGGTATCTTGCCCAAACGAAAAAAAAGTAGAAAATATTTAAGCAACACAAATGACATTGCAATAATAAATTATTGTATAGGTTTGGAAGAACCACAGAATTTGTAAGAATGATTGGTCTCAAAGATATCTTCTACAATATGAAAATGAAAATGAAAACATTTTCGAATGTGATTACAGTTAAAAACATAAAACCATATAAAAATTTAAAAACTCTTATTCCCTTCATTCATGCCGCTAAGTCCATTAACTCCTGCAATCATGAAAATGACTCCTAATACCTTGATTATCAAGTCCATCCTCCAAATTCATAAATCTGTACACCTGTGTTCTTTTACCACATTCTGTCCGTATTAGCATCTCTGTCTTTGTGCAAATAATAAACCTTCTGCTTTTGTCATGCTGCCTCTATCTTTCTCATTTGTGTCTCTTTGTGCTATTCTCATTGTCTTTGAGCATGTCATTATTTATAAAGGTTTATGCACACTTCAGATCCATGCTACTTCGAAAGCTGAAGCAATGCTGTTTCCAAACTGCATTACACCTGAGCCCTGAGGTGTGTGATTACTTAAACATCTCTCGAGACGAGAGTTTTTCACTAAAGACTAAGAGGATCAACTCTCCCTTAGGACAGAAAGCCTTCTTTTGCAATTTCAGAATACATTTGGTGCCTGCTATTTTGATTTCACCAAATGTCAACTGAAACACATGCACATATTCTCTCTCTCTCTCTCTTTCTCTCTCTCTCTCTCTCTTTTGTGACTGTCACTCTGTATGTGTATGTGTACACATGTATGTATGTGGGGAGGGGAGCACTGCATGGAATTTGTCTGTTACAACAGTCATTAGAATAGAATTATCACTAGAATATAACAGTCCTTAACTAGAATCATACAACTCATCAAGGCAGGAACCCTGGGCTGTGTTTCTTTGCTCTGAAAATGCAGCACTCCGGGCCCAGGTTAAAAGCCCAGTAGGTCCCCTTCAGACTTAAATTTTTCTAGTATGCAATAACCAAATCCAAAACTGTAGTATTCTGGCGGTTAGGATTGTCGCCTTCTTTTTTTTTTTTTTTTTAAATCCCAACAGCAGTATATACAAAATTATACTTCTCCTAATAATATTGAAACCATGAATAAGCATGGCAAATATTAGTAATGATGAATTCAGAACTGAAAAATACCCCCTTGCAGAAAATGAGATTGGGATTTGCCTGTTGGAGGGGCCTTAATGCATTCATTAATTGCAATTGGTAGTTCGATGTACACTTCCTAATGGCACTTAAATTACGATAATAAATGCCTACCACTTCATAAATAATTTATTCCATATTTGCATAGTTGTTTCTATGCAGTTATTCTTGACTAATTATCGTACTGACGAAAAAGGTGTCAAACCCTGAATAACAACTTTTCCTTCAGTTAGCATATCTTTCCCCTTGATCTTGCATGTTCATCTTTCATTTTTGATCTTACTGTCATTCTTACATGTGCTCATGTTGTAAAAGATAATAACAATAACAATAATCCTACTAAAATGAGAAAGAGTAAGCAAAATATGCTTTGGCCCTAGCTCAGCAATACAATGTTAACTTAAGAGATTTTAAAACAGCTACAAATAAGTAGTCCATTCACCAATGCAAGTTATTGGCCTTTGTATTTCTTATTTGTTCATTGTATTCGTGGACAGCACTTCAGATTCCACTAGTGAAAAGTAACATAAAGGCTACATTGAGTGAAGTTTGACTCCAGATGATTTCACAGACATACTCATGCAATGCAGAAGTATACTCTTTCAGAATGTTTTTCTACTTCTCAGATTAATCAACAACCCTGGAATTTCCCCCTTCAAATACTAACCAGGTCTGATTCTGTTTAGCTTCTGAACCTAATAAGGTCACCCATATATTTTGCTTGATCAGACAACAAGAAAAGGAGAGGACAGCTGTTAGATTCAGTGGCTTGCAGGCTGCTGTAAGAACTAATGTTATGAGAAGGATTAAACTGTAATTAAAATATTTGTGGTTGCTTTATATTAGAGTTATATTCATACAGTGTCCAGATTATAATGAAGACCTGGTTCTTGTTCCTTCATTTGTCATATCACAATAATTCAAAAGGATCTCTTCTATGGAAGTATTCAGTTTGGAACAAATACTGAAATAGTGTTTATTTTCCTTCATTATAAGTGCAAAATTACTTCATACTGCGCTAATCTATTTTTCACTTATAGAATCTTTGAAAGAAGAGATAGATTCTCGAATGGAGTTTAATGTTAATTTAATACCACAGCTTTGCAAGTTGTCTTAGAGCCAGTTTGGTCTAGTGGTTAAGGCACCAGGCTAGAAAGCAAGAGATCATGAGTTCAAATGCCACCTTAGCCATGAAAGCCAGCTGGATGACAACGAGACAGTCACTCTCTCTGTGTCAGCCCAACTCACTTCACAGGGTTATTGTTGTGGGGAAAATAGCAGGAGGAAGTCTGTTGAATATATTTGTTCCATTGAGTTATTTGTTATTTGTAAAAATAATAAAAATGAGATATAAATAAACTACATAAATAAAATTAGTGTCATGGTTCCCACAGATGATACTCTTCAAAGAACTTCGAGGCATTGTTTAACTTAAAGACTCTTTATTCATGTAGTATGGCATCAGCACATACATGGTCAAAGCCAAAATCTGAATTCCCCTCCCTTAAACACATAGTATCAAAGCACAATTCGCTCCTCCAATTAATAGTCATAAATCATATTCTCCAATTAGTTTGAAATGCAAACCTTCCCTCCAGTTCTCTCACTGCCATTTCTTATCATCTCTTATTTCAAACAACCTTGAAGAATACTCTACTGCGATGTTGTTATGTCTAACTAATCCCTATACATATTCTTTCCAGTGCTCCCCAGCATCATCTAATTCTAACTCTAAAAATAACATACAGGTTAAAGAGAAAATGGCTCCATCTTCATATATTGTCAAAGCAAGAACAGTGTTAGCAGTGTTGACAATTGGCATGAGTTCTGGGTACAACTGAAGGTGTTAGTTATTACCTATAAAGTCCTGTAAGGGACAGGGAAAGAGTACTTGTGGGACCACCTGTTGATAATAGTTTTTGCCCATCCCACCACTTTCTTCAGAGTAGGCATGTTCTGAATTAAATGCTATCTGCTGGACCCCATCATTATCCCTTCTCTGTGATAGATTCCATAGGGATGGAACAGCAAATGGTCCTGACCCTGTTAACCTT